TCTGATGAAAAAAGCAAGGATCAGACGCGTACTCTTGCAGAGAGGAGTATTGCCCAGAACATTGCCTTATAGCTTAAGGATTTGCATTACAATTTCGGATTTCGATTACAATTGTTCAACTTTGGTATCTCGTAAAACATAATACAAATCTGCGGTTACTGATTTAGATGATGACACATGACTTGAGACTTCGGAATGTAACTTAAGATAACTATTTTGATTCTCTCCTCTACAGCGAACTTCAAATTCCGTGGTGGACTGCTAATTATTTAGATATATTGCATATGTTTTATAAAAATTAATACAAGTTAATCAACGTGTTAAATACAAAATTGTAACTTGCCGAATTTTTAGTTTAATTTGCAAAATAACACAATTCGGTACTTTGAATGGTTTTCTAGAGAAATGTGCTCACGAAGCGTAATAAGCTGTTTGAAAATTATAATAGAGAGTTATTAACAAAATGCTGTAATGGACACTTCATATCATGGCAGTGCCATCTAATGATAGATTGCCTTCCTTTTATAAAATAAATCCTCATAATTATTTTGTAAATTCCTTTAATAACATTCTTTCAGTGCTTTTGGGAATTTGGCTGCTGCCTCATAGTTATTGATCAGTATAATAAAAAACTCATATCCGCAAATGATTTTTGTGTGTATACAAATTTGTGTTTTGACAAAAACTATGTGTATCAATAATTTTTCGCATTATCATTAATTTGTAATTTTAATCGGTGGAGGAAGCAAAAGATTGAATCCAGTCTTTAAAACGCAAAGCGAAGAGTAAATATTTTTTTACTTGAATTAACTAATCGGTTAACACTTGTCAATGTGCCGTCGAAATAAAATAAGCCTTATGCATGCTCTCAGTTTTGTTTAAATAATTCAAAAGTCTTTTGAAATTATTGAATCTAAAAAAATCAACTGCCAGTCTTCAAACGATTCAAAGTGAAAGCATAAATGAAAGGCTGTTCTTGTGCTTCAAAGCTTTACCGAGATCTATTAGTTCTTTCAACACTGCTTTTTAAAATACTGGAACCCTTTTCCTAATTCAATAACGTAGTTTGTATATTTTCTGAAACATCCTTTTTCAATCATACGACTGGGTTTTGTATTTTTCTACACATCCGTTTTCGTAATGGAGATGAAATTACCTTTGAAAATTCTCATTTCGATTTAAATAAAAAAAGTACAACGGTGCCATGTCAGTGGATGTTATGTATACACAGGGCTCAAAATAAATGAGAATATACATTTTCATTTACGTAATGCAATAAGCAAATACGAGTAAAGTAACTTCTAAAATACTAATAAGAAAAAATATTAGACTGGAATAAACTAGTGACTAGGCGAATGAACAAGGACTGTTTCGGGTATTCGTATCTGTATCGGAATAGTATCCGAAACGTTATCACCTATTTTACCTTTATGCTATTTGACAATAGAATATCTCTTTGCAACAGTTGTTATGGCTCCACGGATTTAAAATTAGGGATTTAGTGGTTCCTGTGATTCGAAAGGCTGGTGATAACCGACCTACGTGCATCTTCACTTAACTTCCTTACATCTTCCTGGTAACCAGAAATTTGTTAATTAACATTTAAAAGGGATCCACACAAGAAAAATGTTGGAAACCCCCACTTTAGCCCTTTCGCCCCACCCTCCCATCCACTGGTGTGTTACCAAGATGGTGACTCATTAGGGTCGCGTTATCCCTCAGGACGCACGGCCACTGCGCGCTGCGCCCGTGGCC